CGATGCGGGGCTCGATCCCAGGACCCTGGGATCATGACCTGAGCCGAAGGCAGACGCTTAACGACTGAGCCACCCAGGCGCCCCTGATGAAGGATTTTTGAACACTTATTTGGGCTACTATGGAAGAGTAGACTGTAGGGGAGGATAAGTTTAAAGGCCAGACGACTAGTTAGGAGGGTGTGGTGGTATTCCAGACAAATGTGGTGGCCTCGAGGGCTGCCACTGCTGAGCCTTAGGTACATGTCAGTGGCTTCTCTTTCCCTGTCCTTGTCATCACCTGCTCTGTGCCAAGCAGTAGCCATCAGCATACGGTATATGGCCACAGAGCCATACGAGGTCTCTGTGTGGTCATCTGTGCCTTGAGGAGGGCCTCCTACATACCACCACAAGCCAGCCCAGCGTTCTTCAGAATCTTCTGGTTTCCTGGCAGCTTGCTGGATTTCAGAACATGTATTTTGCAAGTTGAATTACCTTTTAGGTATTTTTTCCTGAAAACGTGAATTTTTTCATAGTTCAGCCAGTGCTGTGAGTCTTCTTTCCCTTTATCTCTAAATTGCACCTGAAGCGGCATTATTGTTGTGCTGTTCCCATATGCAAATCACAGCCCAAACAAAAAGCTGGCAGAACCACTTTCATGTTTAGTCATACTTCCACCCTTTATTGTGAAGTTGACATGACCTCAATTTTTTTTTTAACATCTGCTCAGCCTTCTAAGTTAGACTCAGAGGCTAATAATAACTTATATCCTGTCTCCACTGAGAAGCACAGTTTGGTTTGGGGTTAAATGTTTATTCTTACTGGTCCATTAGCCTATTAGGTCACAGAGTCCAGGACCAGAAGGAGATAATCATCTAGCACCAAGACGGGGACGGAAGCACAGCTGGTCACAGCAGAGGACTCACTCCTTGACCAGCCCAGGCCAGCCCCAACAAATCTGAGTTTCTGAGTTCTCATAAAGAGCTGATAGGCCTCAAGCTGCTTTTATTATCTCTGATTCTGACTTGCTGGCATCTGAATGAGAGGAGGCACCCCTCCAAGAGAAGTGCATCATTGAGATTTTCTTTTACCAACCTACATTTCAATACCAGGAGTCTCCCCCATTATAAAAGTTTTATTCTTCCTGTACCTGCTGCAAAAGAACTGTCCTTTGTTTGCTGCTGCTTCATTCAGTCAACATTTACTAGAACCCTGATAAATGGCAGGAAGTAATAATCTGGCAGATCAGGAGAGACACAGTCCCTGTCTTCACACTTCATGGAGAGGAAAACATTAATCAGATAATCAGACAAATAAGGTGCCAACTGTGATAAATGCAGGGTACCGGGATTAAAATGAATGAATTGGGTTCCATAAATAAATCTGAAATTAACATTTAACGTTCAAGTTTAACAGTTCAGTTTCTCTATGTAATAGGTATATTTATTGGTTAAATTTGCCTTTTTAACTGTTAAATAAAAATATATCCCTGAAAGCTTTCCTCATTCTTTTAAGTGATGTAGTTCTCACAATGAAAAAGTCTGTAATAATAATTGTAATAGTAATGGCTGATATTAACTGAGCACCTGTCATGTGCCAGGCCCTGTTGTCCTAAGTGCTTTGCCTGTGTTGGTTCACTGAATCCTCAATACAGGGCTTTGCAGTGGCTGATCTTAGGCCTGGCATTTTACAGATGAGCAAAATGAGGCCCAGAGAAGATAAGTCTCTGGGACAAGGTCACATGGCTAGTGCAGAATCAGGTCAGGTCTCTAACACGTCTCTGCAGCACCTATTCTCCACATCTGATGCGTTGTTCTATATACTGCACATCCATTCTCTTCTTAATGTCTCTGAAGTCATTAACAGAACTTTTGGACCCATTCCTTCCTTAACTCCTGGTACATTTCCTTATTAAGTAAAAACATGTATGTTTTAGTTTAGCTAACGGTATAAAGTCCCAGCAATAAACAATACCAGTGACCCAATTTCTGTAAGTAAAAGGGCATATCCATGAGCTTTTGATTACTTAGAAGGAATTCGGTCATTAACTTACAAATTGCATAAAAACTCAAATTGAATGATACTTTCTCTTGGGCTTTATGTAAAAAAGCAAATTCAATTTTTAAAATAGCATTTTCATTCAAGATTTAAACGTTTAATATTTCAACTGCTCATTTTAGCATTTAATGCTTATTGTTTAAATATTTGCATATTTAACATTTAAAATTACTTTGCCCTCTTTTTATTTTTTTTTAAAGATTTATTTATTTGAGAGAGAGAATGAGATAGCATGAGAGTGGGGAGGGTCAGAGGGAGAAGCAGACTCCCTGCTGAGCAGGGAGCCCGATGCGGGACTCGATCCGGGGACTCCAGGATCATGACCTGAGCCGAAGGCAGTCGCTTAACCAACTGAGCCACCCAGGCGCCCTCTATGTATCTTTTTAAAAAAAAAAAAAAAAATTTTTTTTTTTAAGTAAGCATGCTACATAAGGTTTTCCTTTAGGAAAACCAGAATGCCCCGTGCATCCCACCGAATTGGTGTTTGCCTTGGACCAGTCTCGAGATGTCACCAAGCAGGAATTTGAGCGCATGAAGGAGCTGCTGTCTTCCCTGGTGAGGGGCGTCAGGGTCCGGGAGAACAGCTGCCCGGTGGGCGCACGCATCGCTATCCTCACCTATACCTCTCACGCCCGGCACCTCATCCGCTTCTCAGACGCCTACAAGAAGAACCAGCTCCTCAGGGAGATTGAAGCTATTCCTTACGAGAGGTCCTCGGAAAGCAGGGAGATCGGCAAAGTGATGAGGTTTATCGCCAGAAATGTCTTCAAGCGAACGCTTCCAGGGGCTCACGCAAGAAGAATCGCCACCTTCTTCAGCAGCGGTCAGTCGGCCGATGCCCAGACCATTATCACTGCAACTATGGAATTCAGTGCCCTTGACATCATTCCGGTCGTGATCGCATTCAGCAACGTGCCCTCCATCAAGCGTGCATTTGCGGTAAGATGGTTAAGCCTTTCACATGACTTGGGCGGGGGGGGGGCTATATTCCAAAGCCTCTGTAAGAAAGTATTGAACTACACTATTTATTTCTGTGTACCAGGAAGATGCGAAACCCTTTGTATGCATTACCCTGTTTAATTCTCACAGGTAGTATGTAAGGGATAGGTATAATTATTTCGCCCACTTTATCAATGAGAAAACAGCCTGGAGAGGTTAAACGGTATGCCTGGGTTCACATGGCTAAAAAGTGGCAATGTCAGGACTTGAACCCAGGTTTGCTATTCTAGTGCTTCTCCAAGAAACTCTCTGAGTTGCCTCTGGGTATAGAGCTACTAAATCAGGAAGGCCAGTAAACATTCATTGATGTCACTTAGGTGGCCAGTTGCAATAGTTGCTCTACAATGAAAACCAATTGGCTGATTTTATAACTTCACCAATCATATAACTATCCACATTTTATAAAGGAAAAGACATCTTAGTTATTATAGCTTCTTTGGTTGGGAGGCTATATAAATAAACCACCTGGGATCAAGAGGACCTTTTTTGAGGTAAACTGACATATAATATTAGCTTCAGGTGTGCAACATGATTCATTATTTGTAAATATTGTGAAAAGATCACCACAACAAGCCTCATTAACATTATCACCGTACACAGTTATAAAAATTTTTTATTGTGAGGGGAACTTTCTTTTTTACTAAGTTTTTTACTTTAATTCCAATAAAGTAAATACAGTGTTATATAAGTTTCAGGTGTATAAGATAGTGATTCAACAATTCTGTACATTACTCAGTGATCATCATGATAGGTGTATTCTTTAAAAAAAAAATTATTTTGAGAGAGAGAGCTAGAGTACAGGGAGGGGCAGAAGGAGGGGGAGAGAGAGAATCTGGATCAGACTCCATGCTGAGCATGGAGCTTGAGGTGGGGCTTGATCTCCCAACCCTGCGATTGTGACCTGAGCAGAAACCAAGAGCCAGATGCCGACTGAGGCACCCTGTGATTGGCGTATTCTTAATTCCCCTTCACTTATTTCTCCCACCCACCCCCCTACCCTCCCCGCCTCTGGTAACCACCAGTTTGTTCTCTATAGTTAGAGGAGTCTTATTTTTTGGTTTGTTTGTTTTGTTTCTTAAATTATAAATATGAGTAAAATCATATGGTATTTGTCTTTCTCTGACCGACTTACTTCAATTAGCATTATACTCTTTAGCTCCATCCATGTTGTTGCAAATGGCAAGATTTCATTCTTTTTATGGCTGAATAATATTCTGTTGTATATAATACCATGTCTTCTTTATCCATTCATCCATCAGTGGATACTTGGCCTGCTTCCATAATTTGGCTATTATAATAATGCTGCAATAAACAGAGGGGTACATATATCCCTTTGAATTCGTGTTTTCATATTCTTTGGGTAAATACCCAGTAGTGTGATTACTGGATTGTAGAGTAGTTCCTTTTTTTTTTAAAGTAAGCTCCATGTCCAGCATGGAGCCCAATGAGGGGCTTGAACTCACAACCCTGAGCTGAGATCAAGAGTCAGATGTTTAACTGACAGAACCACCCAGATGCCCCAAGGTAGTTCTATTTTTAACTTTTGAGGAACTTCCATACTGTTTTCCACAGTGGCTGCCCCAGTTCACATTCCCACCAACAGAGCATGAGAGTTCCTTTTTCTACACATCCTTGCTAATACTTGTTGTTTCTTGAGGTTTTGGTTTTAGCAATTCTGATGAGTGTGAGGTAATATCTCATTGTAGTTTTGATTTACATTTCCCTGATGATGAGTGATGATGAGCATCTTTTCATGTGTCTATTGGCTATCTGGATGTTTTCTTTGGAGAGATGTCTGTTCATGTCTTCTGCCATTTTAATTGGATTATTTGGGTTTTTTGGGTGTTGAGTTATATCAGTTTTTTATATATTTTGAATACATAGCCCTTGGGATATGTCAATTGCAAATATCTTCTCCCATTCAATAAGCTGACTTTTGGTTTTGTTGATTGCTTCCTTCACTGTGCATTAATTTCTTACTTTGATGTAGTCCCAATAGTTTGTTTTTGCTTTTGTTCTCCTTGCCTCAGGAGATGTATCTAGAAAAAAGTTGCTACACCAGTGTCAGAGAACTTATTGCCTGTGCTTTCTTCTAGGATTTTTATGGTTTCAGGTCTCATATTTAGGTCCTTGATCCATTTTGAGTTCATTTTTGTGTATGGTGTAAGAAAGTGGTCCAGTTTCACTCTTTTGCTTGTAGCTGTCCAGTTTTCCCAACACCATTTGTTGAAGAGTCTGTCTTTTCCCCAAAGATTAATTGACCATTAATCATGGGTTTGTTTCTGGGCTTTTCTATCCTGTTCCATTGATCTATGTGTCTATTTTTGTGCCAGTACCATACTGTTTTGATTATCATAGCTTTTCAGTATAATTTGAAATCTGGAATTGTGATACCTCCAGCTTTGTTTTTCTTTTTCAAGATTGTTTTGGCTATTTGGGGTCTTTTGTGGTTCCATACGAATTTTAAGATTATTTGTTCTGGTTCTGTGAAAAATGCTGTTGATGTTTTGATGGGGATTGCATTGAATCTGTAGATTGCTTTGGGTAGGACTGACATTTTAACAATATTTGTTCTTTCAATCCACGAGTATAGAATATCTTTCCATTTATGTCATATTCAATTTCTTTCATTAATGTCTTACGGTTTTCAGAGTATAGATCTTTCATCTCCTACATTAAGTTTATTCCTAGGTATGTTATTCTTTTTGGTGTGGTTATAAATGGGATTGCTTTCTTAATTTCTCTCTCTGTTGCTTCATTATTGGTGTATAGAAATACAATATATTTCTGTACATTGACTTTTGTATTTGTGAACTAACGGAATTTATCAGTTCTAGTAGTCTTTTGGGGGAGTCTGTAGTGTTTTCTATATGTAGTATTATGTCATCTGCAAATAGTGACAGCTTTACTTCTTCCTTACCAATATGGATGCCTTTTATAACTTTTTCTTGTCTGATTGCTGTGGCTAGGACTTCGAGTACTATGTTGAATAAAAGTGATGAGAGTGGACATCCTTGCCTTGTCCCTAACCTTAGGGAAAGTTCTCAATTTTTCAGCATTATGATATTAGCTGTGGGTTTTTCATATATGACCTATATTATGTTGAGATATATTCTCTCTAAACCTACTTTGTTGAGAGTTTTTATCATGAATGGGTATTGTACTTTGTCAAATGTTTTTTCCACATCTATTGAAATTATCACATGGTTCTTATCCTTTTTCTTATTGATGTCATGTATAACATTGATTGATTTGTGAATATTGAACCACCCTTGCTTTCCAGGAATAAATCCCACTTGATCACAGTGAATGATTTTTTTCATGTATTGTTGGATTCAGTTTGCTAATATTTTATTAAGGATTTTTGCATCTATGTTCACTGGACTTATTGGCCTGTATTTCTCTTTTTTTTTGTGGTGTCTTTATCTGGTTTTGTTATCAGGGTATTGCTGGCCTCATAGAATGAATTTGGAAGCTTTCCTTCCTCTATTTTTTGGAATAGTTTGAGAAGAATAGCTATTAACTCTTTAAATGTTTGGTGAAATTCACCTGTGAAGCCATCTGTCCTGGAGTTTGTTTGTTGAGAGTATTTTTTATTACTGGTTTAATTTCATTACTGGTAATAGGTCTGTTCAAATTTTCTATTTCTTCCTGCTTCAGTTTTGGGAGGTTATATGTTCCTATGAATTTATCCATTTCTTCTAGGCTGTCCAATTTGTTGCCATATAATTTTTCATAATATTCTCTTATAATTCTTTGTGCTGTCAGTTGTTATTTCTCCTCTTTCATTTCTGATTTTGTTTATTTGAGTCCTCTCTGTTTTGATGAATCTGGCTTATCAATTTTTTTTTTTTGTCTTTTTCAAAGAACCAGTTCCTGGTGTCATTGATCCGTTCTATTGTGTTTTTTAGTTTCTATTTCATCTATTTATGCTCTAATCTTTATTATTGCCTTCCTTCTACTGGTTTTGGGTTTTGTTTTTCCTTTTCTACCTCCTTTTGGTGTAATATTAGGTTGTTCGAGATTTTTCTTGCTTCTTAAGGTAGGCCTGTATTGCTATAAAATTCCTTCCTAGAACTGCTTTTGCTGCATCCCAAAGATTTGGATTATTGTGTTTTCATTTTCATTTGTCTCCATGTATTTTTCCATTTCCTCTTTGAGTTCTTGGTTGACCCATTCATTGTTTAGTAGCATGTTGTTTAACCTCCGTGTATTTATGCTCTTTCTAGATTTTTTTTTCTTGTGACTGATTTCTAGTGTCATAGCATTTTGATCAGGAAAAAATGCATGGTTTGACTTTGATCTTTTTGAATTTCTTGAGACTTGTTTTGTGGCCTAATATGTTATCTGTTCTGAATCTGTTCAGAAGAAAGTGTATTCTGCTGTTTTAGGATGGAATGTTCTGAATATATCTGTTAAATTCATCTGGTCCAATGTGTCATTCAAAGCCACCATTTCCTTGATTTTTCTGTTTGGATGATCTGTTCATTGATGTAAGTGGGGTGTTAAAGTCTCTTATTATTACTGCATTATTATTGATTACTTCCTTTGTGTTATTAACTGCTTTAAGTATTTAGGTGCTCCCATGTTGGATGCATAAATATTTGTATTTGTTATATCTGCTTGTTAATGTCCTTTGTCTTCTGTTACCATTTTTGTTTTAAAGTCTATTTTGTCTGATACAAGTATTGTTACCCCAGCTTTCTTTTCACATCCATTTGCATGATAAATGTTTCTTCATCCTTTCACTTTTCAATCTGCAGGTGTCTTTTGAGGCCCTTTCCACCTCCATAATTTTCTATGAAGGTGTCAAATAAGCACAACAGAATTGAAATAGAGTATTAATCTATAAAGTATGGAAAGCAGTGCCTGTTTCCTGGAGCTGTTGTGTAGATGAAATGATGGGACACCATGCCTCAGTGCCTAATGCATAGTAAATATTCAAGAATGATAGTTTTTGCTCTAATTGCTATTGCTATTATTTATCTGCTTGATGATGAACTAAAATCTATTTAACAAAAATATTGTTGTAAAGGAGCTGATGCTGCTATTAGTGTCATTGAACATGCAAATGGACAGGTTGATAAACCAGGCTCAGAAAGGGAAATGCACATCAGTTAGAAAAGGCTGGGCCATGCCGTACAAATAAATGAAGCTGCTATGAAACACAGCAGCTCAAAAATTCTGTGAGTAGATATGGTTACACACAGACACATAAATCCTTCTGTTTATTGACAGCCCCATTGTCCCTTGGCTTTATTTAGTCACAAAACAAGAGACAATATCCTAATGCAAATAATTGATAGTACTTGTGATATAAACTTAAAGTAAACACAGTTTCACCACCCACTCAAAGGTGTGTGCATAGCCTCTAACTTGAGAAAACATATTTTGTTGGTTTGTTTTAAAATGTTTTGAGTGTTAACAGTCTCTCAGAGTTCCTAGTCAAATCAGCTAGAAGCTCTTTGCTCCTTTCTTGAAGGACTTTACCTCAAAAGAGCACCAATGAAGATTCAGATTCTTGACAATGACCCTCCAAAATCTGAGCAGCATTGGCTCCAAACACCTCTTGAGTAGAATTAGAGAGGCATACAGAAGTCAGAATTGGTGCCAAGGTTCGTTCATCCAGCAAATGCTTAGTGAGCACCTCGTGTATACCAGGAGCTATCCTAGGCTGTGGAGACACCAAAGTGGAAAACCAAAAGATGCACCCTCACGGAGCTGCCATTAGAGGATGCAATGAAGCAGCGTTGTCTAGAAAGGTTCAAAATAGAGGCATGTATACAAGTTGGTAAGAACCCACCACTGATATCTGGCATTACAGAAGGGAAATTATGTTACTACTTCTCCTTTTGTCCTCTTTTTCTTTCTTCTATCCATTCTGTTCAGTTGTACTTCCCTACACTGGAACTGTGGTTTATTATTTCAGGAACAGAACTCAGAAATCTAGTGACAATGAATTTTTATTTGGAGGCCATATTTTAAAACCCTTATTTGTTTCATAATTATCATGGCGTTTCTAAATCTTGATTCGTCTGAGAGTTCAGCAGTCCAGTGTGAAATTCAGGCCCCATGCAGGCACATGCAGCAGCATTTGGAAACAGATGTTCTGACAACTGGCACTGATTTCCCTTAGCACATGGACTGTGACCTCCCTCTTGGGAATTTCTCATGATGGTATCAACTGAGTGATGAGCTATTCATCCCTTCGGAAACAGAAGGCCATTTTTGACTGGAAAAACCTCAATCTCAGCTTTGTTTTGCCACCAGGTTTTCCCCTTTAAGTGTGTTTGGCAACTACCTCTTACTTCTGGTGAAATTTTACTTGCTTCCCATAAAGAATTCTAATTTAGACTGGGTCTCCCTATTTCTAATAGACCTATAAGAGATATCTCTTTTTCAGCTAGCCTTTTTTTCCTTTTTACTCTGCTGTTTAACATTGCAAATGAGAGAAACATTAAGGATAATATTGACATTACAGATTATTCTTGTGATTGGAGACAGCTGAAATGGGAAGGGGGTTTAATGGGAAACCTTGGCATTCCACCTTGGAAAACCTTGGCATTCCACTGCAGAATGTCCCCATTTGTCACCACCACCCCGGTCCCAGCTCCACTGCCCTATCATCACAGCTTTTTTTTTCTCTCATACCACAACAATGCTCACCTTCCCTCCTTTCTGTTTCTTTCTTCTCAGCCTTTCCCAGACACTAACCATTCTTTTTTCTATATATTTTGCCTAGAAATCATGCCAAAAGCTTCAGTTACCACATATTTCCTCTGAGTCTCCCCCTCTAACCCATCCAGCTCATGAAGGCAAACACAGAAGAAAAGATGGGCAGAAACAAAGACAAGCCTTAGCGAAAGCCCCCACCACCTTTCCTCCTTCCCATTTCCCTCATTTCCTCCCATTGCTCCTCAGTTAGAACATGGCCAGCCTACAGCTTCATTAGTGCTTACCACTAACATAGAGGGACTCACTGCCCTCAGGACCCCAGTTCCAAATTCCTGAGAGAATGGATCCAATTGGCTCAGATTCCCATTCCTGGTGCAATCTCCTCTGCAGAGGGATGGAGTCCCCCCCGCCCAAACACACAGTTTAACATGGCTGCCCAAGTCCTATCTTCATGGATAAAGTATGCAAAGGACACTTTCCTGAGAAAGAGTAGGGAAATGCTGTCTGTCCCATCTCTTAGGCATTAGATAAGACCATACCTATAACTTCCCCTCAGCCATCAAGAGATCTGTGAATCTGTTAACTGACAAGCTAACTATTCTTCATTATTTGAAGCCTCCCTATTTTATCCCTGCTCTCCAGCCTCAAACTCCCCAGAGAGGTTATTAACAATGGGACTGAGCTGGAAGGTGTTGGGAGTTGTTCAGAGGAGAGCCCCTGGATGTGGATCTGGGTCTGCAAAGCTAGCTTCCATGCCTGGTTCATAATGGGAACTCAGAGACAGTTGTAAAGTACATTCTGTGATTTCACTTGGTTCCCTGGGACTTGGGGTGTGTGTGTGTGGGGGGGTGTCCTCTGACCCTCTTCCTTCAATGGCTTCCATGTCCACTGTCTTTTGATCAGTCCTCTCACCTTCCTTTGAGCTTCAGCTTCCTCATCTGTAAAATGGGCATGATGCACATAAGAACAAACTCGCTGGGTTGTTGAGATAATGAATAGGAAAGTGCTTTGTGGTCTCTAATGACCCACACAGCACCCACCCTGTGCCAGTACGTGCGTTTCAATTATGAACCCATTTAATGCCCACTCTATTCCTGTTAGGTTGTAGTGTGATTATCCCATTTTGTAGATGAGGAAACAGAGACAAAAAAACCTGACCTACAGCTAAAGGGAACACCAGGGCTTAAACCCAAACAGGGCTCTTAGCCACCCTGACACGCGCGAGGCTTCCCTATGACCTTCTTTGGAAGGAGCAGTGTTGTACTCAAAAGATCTCAGTGCTCTGAACAATCCTGGGGGATTCCTGCAGCCCCACCCACTAAGCTGTTCTTTTTCTTGCTTCTGCTTCTTACAGATTGATGACACTGGCACATTCCAACTCATAATGGTTCCATCCGGGACCGACTACGCGCCAGCATTAGAGAGACTCCAGCGGTGTACTTTCTGCTATGGTAAGATCCATGGAGAGAATATAATTTGATCAGGCCTGTTAAGCACACTGAGTCACTGTTGGCAGGAATGGCTGGACCTTGGCAACAGGGGTACTAGTGGCCTTGGGAAGATTTCCCTGGGGCTCTGGCCTCACTTCCTCATTCTGCATGGTCCACAGATGGAGCCCCAGCCAGCAGGGCTCCTCCCAGGCATCCAAGCAGGAGATTGCATTCCAGGCCCTCCAAGCTTCTGCAGCTTCCAGGAAACAATAACGATTATTAGAAAAACTCAGCCGTCTCATTGCCAAGGTTTTCCTGCTATAAAGTATATTTATGTGTCTTCTAAATCTCAAACGTTCACAACCCCCCAAGAAATGCTTTATAGTACAAGTGGGAATTAGTGGAAATCCATGCATTTTCTATTGCAAAAAGGCATCAGAAAGACTGTTTGTCCATTGCCGTGTTTTATACACCATCTACAGGCCTAGCTAGAGAGGCAGCTGTGGGTGAGTATGCTGGTAATTTGAGTGTTCCAATAATTATGAAGACAGTGGAAGCCACTGCAGTCATCAGCGGGTGTGATTTCTAACAGTTGCCAGGCATTTCTTATGAACCATGCACTGTTCTAATTGCTTTATGTAACATTGGTGGTGGTGCTGGTGATAGTTAATGTTGAAGCTATTGTGCGTATTCTGTTCCAAGCATTCTTCTCATTGTCTCATCCCACCCTTACAATCACCTTGAGACATTTGAACTATTACTAGCTCCACTTGACAGATGACAAAAATGGGGCTTAGAGAGATGAGATAATTTGCCCAGACGGCACAGCCAGAGGAGACCCAAGAAGGCTGGCCTCACAACGCAGCCATTTATGAGTAACCAAGATCCCATTATTCTCCCTGAGACTTGGTATTTGGTCTTGAAGAAAATGATTGATTCCTTTCCTTCTCCATGTGTATTAATGAGATGCTAATGCTTGCCATGTAAGTGACCTCATAGGGAGGTGGTAACTCTGAGAAGTGGGATTGCTTCAGACACCCCTCTATTCTTTCTGTCTCCCCCTCTGCTTCCCTCTACTCATTAGACTCTCTCCTCCCTTCCCCTCCCCCCCCACCTTCTCCCTTCCTTCTCTGCCTCCCTCCCTCCTTCTGTCCCCCTCAGTAGCACAGGGTTGGTTAGGCCCTGGCCCTCCTACTCAAGGCAGTGGCTGACTGTGCTGTGAGGGGGGCTTCCCACCCCAGCCTCAGCACGGCTTTCAGACACATCAGTTACTTATGTTACAGTCAGAAGTTGTACATGTGTGACTGGGGAGAGATTTTGGCCCCATTTCTTGGCTTAAATCCTTGTTTTGTCTCTGGGGCATATAAGGGAAGATATTTTGGCTGTCGTTTCCTGCAATTAAAAAACACCACAAAATTGAGCAAATAGGCAGCCTGCTGTCTCTGATTTTAGGAACTGCCTAGCACACAGGTGACTGTTCTGTCATTCGACCATTAAACGTGGTTGTAAAATTGTACTGAATTTCTGTAAGGGAAATGTAGCTTGTGCAAAGCCACATCTTTATGGAGTCCATGAGCAAGACTGAAGTGAATTTGCTACATCCCCAAAGATCTGCATTCTGGTTTTCAACCTTTCATCTGACTGCTTTTATTCCTGCCCCAGGCACACATCTAAGTACCAGCTGTCCACACGCTCGTCATTCCATTTCTCTTCTCTTTAGTTTTTAAAGAGGCGTTCTCAGCCTTAACCAGCAACTATTACTGAAAATGTCAAGATTGCAGAGGTTGGCCCAGGAAGGGTTTTCTGGGTGAATCTGACCCACCCACCTAACTGTGCAGAATTGAGGCCCGGTGGTGACTTAGGTAAGACCAGAGCCCAGGCATCCTGGCTCTTAGGCCAAGGGACCTCCCCACTGCCACACCGCATGGCCTTGTCTCTCACAATAAACCCTGACTTCATATGTAGAAACTTCTAGAAACACTTGCGTATTGTTTGGCAGAATGATTTTACCCTCTTATCATCAGTTTCTTCTGTTAAATTAGATTAGGTGACCTCTAAGATCCTTCCAGTTCCAAATTTTTTTATTCCTCTGAATATTCATTGTGGTCAGATTCAGTGGAATTCACTCCTGTTTTATTACTACATATTCTTTTGATAAATGAGATATGCATATTTATTAAAATGACCCCATATTTTATGAAAGCTTACTAATATGCAATATTTATATTCATGTATTTAACAAACACATATTGAGCTTTCAACTAATGAGCACACTGGAGAGACAAACATGAGCTATAGCTTTGTCCTTAGTGTCCACACCCAGATGGACATTGAGTTACAAACCTTTATTTAAATTGAAGTAAAAGAATTCATTGCTTTTTTTCCCCACTCTTTTTAAGCATACTACATTTCATAGTAGAACAGTGTGAGCATAATGATAAGGACAATTGGTTTAACCTGCATCTTGTCTATCTAGAGAGATCATTAGCTTTTATGTCATGATAAGGTATACTCTTATACGAGATAAACTGTCTACTTCAATCTTTATAAACTTAAAATACAGCAAAGATTAAGCTTCTGTTGAAAGCAGCCTAATTTTTAAAAGTCAAATGCCTTAGTGAACGGAATTCAAGACACCAACTGGGTGTAAAATCTGTACGTTTTAAATATAGATGCAAACTATGGACTAGGAAATCTTTTGTTGTTGATATCAAAGTCATTTAGTAATTATTTTAATATCAAAGATTATGCAGTTTCCAAATGTTAGAATATTTGAGATGCTATCTTTTCTGTCCAGTCTGTTTTAGTAGCCCTATGTGACTTTTGGTCTGCAGATGTATGCAAGCCAGACGCTTTTTGCGATCAAGCCAAACCACCACCCCCTGCACAGTCTTACATGGATGCTGCTTTCCTTCTGGACAGCTCCCGGCATGTGGGAAGTGCTGAATTTGAAGACATAAGACACTTTTTGGGAGCACTGTTAGATCACTTTGAGATCAGCCCAGAGCCTGAGACCTCTGTCACTGGAGACCGGGTGGCCCTATTAAGCCATGCTCCCCCCAACTTCCTACCCAACACTCAGAAGAGTCCTGTTAGAACTGAGTTCAACCTTACCACCTACAATAGTAAACGCCTCATGAAGAGGCACCTGGAAGAATCAGTTCAACAACTAAATGGAGACACTTTCATCGGTCATGCCTTACAGTGGACCCTGGACAATATCTTTTTAAATACACCCAATATGAGAAGAAACAAAGTCATATTTGTAATATCCACAGGGGAAACCAGTCACTTGGACAGGGAAACCTTAAAGAAAGAATCCTTGAGAGCCAAATGTCAAGGTTATACCCTATTTGTGTTTTCCCTTGGCCCTGCTTGGAATGACAAGGAACTAGAAGATCTAGCCAGCTACCCTTTGGATCACCACTTGGTCCAGCTTGGCCGAATTCATAAACCTGACCACAGATACAGTGTGAAGTTTGTGAAATCCTTTGTAAACTCAATCAGGCGTAAGTCATAAAATCTGTTCTTTCTTACACATTAAGAGTATTATTTGGTATTCCCAAAAGAAGGGTTGATGAACTGACATGGATTCTTGGAAATGTCTGTCTTCAAGGGCACTGCAGGGTCAGAAAGGAAAATTTGTAATGGTGGAGAGAGGAAACCTCTGATTCCTAGCATTTAATTTTCTGGCTCAAATTTTTTATGCCTCTGGTTCCTATGGAGAAGCAATCATAACAAGCAGCTGCTCACACATCTGTCTACATAGAGCAATATAGTCTGGGGGTGTAAAGTCACCACCTGGATCTTAGCTATAAAGTAGAAATCCTTGCCATGTAACATTAACACACTGCCCTCCAATGGAAAGCTTCATCAGTTAACACACCAAAAGAGAGAGCCAAAGAAAAATTCAACAATTCTCAGCTTTGCTTTTTTACAAGTTCCAAAGGCAGAGTTTGAGGTATTAGGGGATATCATTTTACCTGTAAGAATGAAAGATACATCCTTGCAAAACTTTCTCAGCCTTGTTGATGACTTTTTATGATGCCAGCAATTAGTGTAACTGGTACTCATAAAAAAGAAACATGGGCTGTATTTCTTGGAGTAATTTTGCCTTGAAAGTATGCAATTCACTTTGTATGCAATGGAATGGGTAAAAAGAAGCCATGTCCTACTATGACTCTGGAGGTTGAAAAATCGTCAGATTTCTGAACATTCTCATGGCGAATGAGCCCTTAGAGTCCAGATAAAGAAAAGTGAATACACAGGCTGAAGGACACCCAGTGTAGCTTACAGGAGATTCTGATAGAGTCTCAAACTTGTCACTGACATTACACAGTGAGACCAGTTAAGGTTGCAAAGATGGACTAATCCCTATAGGTGAGGTCTAAGGAGCCTTGGGAAATTGTTGATGGTACTGATGTCATGTCCCCTAGTCCTGTGCTTCTCCAAATGTGAATCTAGGACCTACATCATCAGCATTACCTGGAAGCTCGTGAAAATTGCAGAATTTCATGCCCTACTCCAGGCATTCTGAACCAGAAACTGCATTTTTGTCAAATTGCCAGGTGATTCACATGCACGTTATGGTTTGAGAAACACTGGAGCAACAAGCTCCTAGAATGAAATTTATGTGGATGTGTTTTGGAATAGGAAATCAGAAAGAGGAGCTAGAAAAAAGAAGGGCAAAAAAAGGGGACCAAGAATCATTCCGAAAAGAAGTAATTACAAGGCATTTGTAAGGGTAAAAAAAGAACACTTTGAAAGACTGAGAAACTTATAAAGAAACACTGCTTGTGAGGCAAAAAAAATTGAAAGAAAATTTAAGATGGAATTTCCTTCCTCAGTCCCCCAAAATTCTTCGTGGTGTTTCATGGTAATTAGTCAAATCGTATGAATAGATAAAAATGACACCCCATTACCACCCAAGGAAAGGAAAAGAGATGTTTTAAGAATTACTTGGTGTAGGTGAGAGAGATATAAAGTGCTTTCAGAAAACTGTAACTGTGACACAATTATACACTACTTTTCTAGAACTTAAGGATCTAGAAATCTTCCGTCTTTGAAATACAATTATAGAAGTAGAAGTTGAAAAAGGCTTTAACATAATCATATAGCAAGCCCACAGACTCATGCTCATTCAACAGCAACGCATATGTATCAGGTACCTACTGTGAACCACTCACAGTGTGGGTGTGGGGCTATCTTTTTTAAAAAAACATTTATTTATTTTAGCACAAGCTATGGGGGAGGAGCCGGGGTGGGGGGGAAGAATCTCAAGCAAACCCTGCGCTGAGCCCAGGGTCCAACACAGGGCACAGTCTCAGGACCCTGAGATCATGACCTGAGCCAAAACTAAGTCGGATGCTTAACCAACAGAGCCACCCAGGCGCCCCAGGTTGTGGGGGTACCAAGGAGTGACCAAACAGACACCATCCCTGCCCTCCTGGGGATTCTAGTGCAGCTCCCTCTCTGATTCTTATTTAACACCATGCTGTGATCGAGGTGGCCATCGAGCACAGTCCACATCTGAAATAACACATATTCTAAGAGAAACAAAACTGACAAACAACCTGATGCTTAGAACTAGGACAGATAAGAAATAAAATGCACAACATCACAGTCTAGGGCCATTCAGTCTAGAATCACACAGTCCATTCTGCAACAGCAGCTTTAGAGACGGTGCTATATCACAACCCAGGACGAACTTGCTATTTAATGACCCTGATCACTAAGGAAGAGCTTTAATTGTGTTTACCAAGTCTGTTCAATTTAATGCTTCAAGGAAATAAATGATACATTTTTTGAAGTTTCCCATCAAAAATGGCTTTTAAATGTTTAAATTTTGTGGGAAGGGGCATGCTTTGTTATTATAAAAAAATCAATATCCTTCCAAATGAAGTGAGCCACTAATGAATTAAACCCAAGATGGCACTATTGTTACTATTGTTAATGACACAGAAACCACAAAGGGAATATCCCTTTCCCTTTGCATTTTGATATTGCAAAGGAGCAAATAAAAAATAACTATTCTGAATAGTTCGTGTCAATTAGAGACCAGACTTTAGGACTAGCTCATAACATCTCCTCTAACGTTGACCAACTTTAGCAGCTAAAGGCATCTTATTGAAAAATAAGTTGAATGCTCTGCCTATAAATTCAGCAGAGATATATATATATTTTTAAAGATTTTATTTATTTGCGAGAGAGAATGAGAGAGAGCACGAGGGGGAGGAGGGTCAGAGGGAGAAGACTCCCCAATGAGCAGGGAGCCCGATGCGGAACTCGATCCCGGGACTCCAGGATCATGACCTGAGCCAAAGACAGTCGCTTAACCGACTGAGCCACCCAGGTGCCCGAGATGTATTTTCTAAACCCAGTTTTAGAGACTCCCCTGAGAAACCTGCTCTCATCTCAGTAGACCACCTTAGTTGGTATCTTCCTTTGATGAATATCGAAAGCAGTGAAGTGATACTTTGCATACAGAGCAGATTGCTGTAATGTTAATAGTTATGAATAAGAGACTCATCACAGACTTTTCTCTTCCTAGGTGCAATCAACAAATATCCACCCATAAACTTCAAAATGAAGTGCAACAGACTGAGCTCTACAGATCTGAAGCAGCCCCCACGGCAGTGGCGAAGGTATTTTCAGCTTGAGAGAACTTGATAAATAATGTGCCCCCCTTTCTTCTCCTCATTCTCTATAATTTCTTCCTCCTCCTTTTCTCCCTCTTCCTCCTCCTCCATCCTATTTGGACAAAATCTACAGGTACATAATATTAAAATATAATTTGGGGGAATAAGAGATAATAAAAAATGACCAGGTTGGTCTGAAAACAACCAGAGACTTTTTAAAAGTGGAAAATCTAAATGTGGAACTAAAACAACCAATGGGACACTTGAGTGGCAATGAGCATAATTAATGACCAGACAGTGGTTTCTAAATATCATTCCCCACTCAAAGGAACCAGGGTTTCTTGGAGAGAGAAAAGCTAATTTTAGACTGTAGCAGGGAAAGTACAATATGACTCTCAAAGATTTATTATGCCGGAAAGCAAGGAAGCAGTAAAAAACTAGCAGTGTCATGTCAAAAGGACAAAGGAGTGAAAAGATTCCTACTGGCCTGATTTTGGACAGTTTAACATCAGAAAGAATAATGGTAATGGATTATAACAGAATGAATTTTTAAAATCCACAAGTCTATATAGAGATCCGAAAAGGGAGGAGGGTAGTAAAAGTTCTTTTTTATGGAAGTATGGAGCTAATAAATATAGAAGAAAATGGTAGACTTAAAAAATCACCAATTTGTGAGGCACCTGGGTGGGGCAGTTGGTTAAGTGTCCAACTCTTGATTTTGGCTCAGGTTGTGATCTCAGAGTCATGAGATTGAGTCCTGTGTTGGGCTCTGTGCTCAGCGCAGAGTCTACTTGGGAATCTCTCTCCCTCTTCCTCTGCCCCTCCTGCTCATGCACGTCCTCTCTCTCGTGAATAAATAAATCTTTTTAAAAAATCACCAATTTGTAATCTCCAGTGTAATAATGGAGTCAGATAAGAATCAAAGAATGCTAAAACCACTGGGTGACAGGTTGTTTGGGAACAGGCTATTTTACAGTCTCCCAGACCATTCACATATTACTAACTTATTAATTACAAAGAAAGGAAATATGCATGTACATGGTAAGATCTGGCAGTTCCCACTGTGGCCAAGATTTGACATTATGTGCTTCCTGAGGTGATGCAGGGGGAGATACATCACCTTGAATGTAAGATTCTTGCAGGGAATGTTTGACCCAAGTCTCATAATGAGGAAACCATTAGACAATTCCAGAATATGGAGTTTTCTTCAGAACAGCTGACCTAGTCAGAGGTTTCAATGTCATGAGCAGCAAAGGGGTTGTGGGGTACTATTCTAAAATGGGAGAGACTAAGGAGACATAACCATCAAATGTAATGGTGTGAAACTTGACTGGATCCCAGGTCAGAAAAAAAGCTCATATAAATGACTTCTGGTGGACAACTGGGGAAATTTGAGTATGAACAATATGTCAGGAGATATTATTGATTCATGTGAATTTCCTTATGTGTAGTAATACTATCATGTTCATATGAGAGAAAGTTTTTGTTCTTGAGATAGGTATATTGAAGTATTTAAAAGTAACATGTATAATATCTGCAATCTATTTTCAGATGGTTTCCCTAAAAGGAAATAGGATGGGGTTTTATGTGTGTGTGTATGCACATATATGAGTGTATATGCATATATGGATGTGTGTATGCATATATGTGTGTGTGTGTGTGTATACACACAGAGTAACAAGATGGTAACATTTGGAGAACCAAATAGGTGAAAAGTATAAAGGTATTTATTTATTCATGGTTTTGTTCTTAACAAGATTCTGTGAATTAAAAAATAAAACTCAGTGGATGAATTAAACAGAATAATAGACACATCTAAAGAGAAACACAGTGAACTGGAGAATAAAGCTGAAGAAATCACTCAGAATGCAGAGAAGATAAATGTAAGAAGTTTAGAGACAGAACAGAATGGAAAGATCTATATCAAATTGGAATTCTTGAAATCAGATAAAATAGAAATAATAAATGAGATAATGTTCAAGTACATCAAGAGATGGTCATTTTCAAGAACTTATCAAAGATATGAATTAAAAGATGAAGAAAAGACAAGGTACAACAGGGAGGATAAATAAAAAGAGCCATTAGATGTGGCGTAGGGGAATGCAGACATCAAGCCAAATAAAAAGGCAGACTGAAAGAAAGAGAAGATTATCTACAAAGAAACTACAATTAGGTTGGCAGCTGGATTATTAGTAGCAATAGTGGAAGCCACAAAACTGTTAAGAACTTTTAAAGTAATGGAAGAACATTTTTATCAACTTAAACCAACTTTAAAAAATAATGGTATAACAAAGATAATTAGGATAAACAAAAAACAGTTCACCACAAAGACCTTTGCTAAAGGAACTTCTAAAGTATGTACTTCAAGGAACATAAAAATGACTGTGGAAGGAAGGGCTGAGATGCAACACTAATAAATGATCAAAACTTGACAATATTTAGGAAGACCTAAATGTTAGATTTCTAAGCAATAGTAATATCTAATTTGTAGGGTTACAAAAAAGCCATACTTGTTAACAAAGGTATGAAAATAAGATATTTGTAGGCACCTGTTGGTTTAACAGAAAAAAAACTATTGTACTAAGACTATACATATTAATATTATTTAAACTTGAGAAAATATATTGGACAATAAAATAATCTTTTATTTAAAAAAATGAAGTTGAGCCTGAAGGGTAAAAAAGGTAGTACTGAAAAATGGGACAATAATAATAATACATGTCATGGGGAGGTAAATGGAGTAAAGGGCTCTAGGAACTTGAATTGTTTGGGCTGGCTACTGAAAAACTTTAGACTCTCTTAAAAATGTATTAGAAATTGTGATGGTACCTGTGAAAAAAAAAAAATGGAATGTAGCTAACTACCAAAACTGTAGTGCAGGAAAATGCAATAAAAACAAGAACATAAATATTTTTTTAAATAAAAAGGCAAGGGGGGGAGGACAAGTAGAAGGCACAAAGTAAAACAGCAGAATCAATTCCATTTAAAATATCAGGAGTCATAATAAATATCGACTAAACATGCCAGTTATAGAGATAGATGGACTTAAGAAACAAAATAAAATCCAGCTATAACTTGCTTTCAATTATAGAGACACAGCCGCAAGATAAGGACATGGAAAAGTTGGAAGTAAAATTATGAAAAAATATGCCAGGCAAATTAAAAAAAAATCTGGAAACATAATATATACTGCTATATGCAGAAGATGATGTATACAAACCTACCAGTAACCAGAACAATAAAGCTAGAATATAACATTAATATCAGGTAACATATTCTCTTTAACAAAACAGTATTATGGGGATAAAAAGCCACTACATGATGACAAAGTGTTCAATTCATGAAGAAGATATAACAATTCTAAATTTCTAAGAGGGTAATAAAATAATCTTAAAATATACAAAGTAGAAATTGAAAAACTACAAGGAGAAATTGCCGTCGAACTATCATTAGAGTTGGAGATTTCGGTACACCAGTTTGAATAATCAGTCAGGCAGACAAAAATGAGTAAAGATATTAAAGATTTCATCATAAATAACAAACTTGATTTAATAGGTTCATTTAGAACCCTGCATAGAAAAATGAGACATTCTTCTGAAGAGCACATGTAACATTAACAACTAGTTGAATCAAGGTGGAGAGTTCACCAGGTGTTCGTTGAGCAGTTTTTAACTTATCAAGCAGGTGTCAACCAAGCTCTAAGAACTAGTGTCATACAATCCAAATTGATCGGAATTCAATTAAGTTAGAAATTAATAACATTTTAAAAATCCATACATTTTTAAATTAAAATCACATTCCTAAATAAGGTAAAAAATTATAATGAAAACTTTAAAATACTTAGAATTGTATAATAATCAAGATGTTATATGTCAAAATTTATGGGATATGTCAGAAGTCATAATTTAGGAAAGTTTATAGTCTTAATTCTTGTGTTAGGGAAAATTTAATAACTCTAAAAGCTAATGAGCTAAATATCACTCTTGAGATATTATAGAAGAAGAAAAATATATATATATATACCCAAAGAAAGGAATCAAAGTAGAACTTAATATTTTTTTAATTACGATATTTTTAAGAGTATCAATAAAGGCAAAGTTTTTATTTTTTTAAATTTTATTTTATTATGTTATGTTAGTCACCATTCATTACCTCATTAGTTTTTGATGTAGTGTTCCATGATTCATTGTTTGCATATAACACCCAGTGCTCCATTCAATATGTGCCCTCCTTAATACCCATCACCAGGCTAACCTATCCCCTCACCCCTCTGCCCTCTAAAACCCTCAGTTTGTTTCTCAGAGTCCATAGTCTCTCATGGTTCGTCTCCCCCTCTGATTTCCCCCCGCTTCCTACTGTTTTTTTTTTTTTAACATATAATGTATTATTTCAGAGGTACAGGTCTGTGATTCATCAGTCATACACAATTCACAACACTCACCATAGCACATACCCTCCCCAATGTCCATCACCCAGCCACCCATCCCTCCCACCTCCCACCACTCCAGCAACCCTGTTTGTTTCCTGAGATTAAGAAATCCCCATATCTGTGAGATCATATGATACTTGTCTTTCTCTGACTGACTGATTTCGCTTAGCATAATACCCTCTAGTTCCATCCACGTTGTTGCAAATGGCAAGATTTCGGGGTTTTTTGATGGCTGCATAATATTCCACTATATATATATATGCCACATCTTCTTTATCCATTCATCTGTTGATGGACATCTTGGCTCTTTCCATAGTTTGGCTATTGTGGACATTGCTGCTATAAACATTGGGGTGCATGTACCCCTTCAGATCACTACATTTGTATCTTTGGGGTAAATACCCAGTAGTGCAATTCCTGGGTCATAGGGCAGCTCTATTTTCAACTTTTTGAGGAACCTCCATACTGTTTTCCAGAGTGGTTGCACCAGCTTGCACTCCCACCAACAGTATAGGAGGGTTCCCCTTTCTCTGCATCCTTGCCAACATCTGTCATTTCCTGACTTTTTTTTTTAATT